AGAAAAATAGAAGAAAAAGAAAGAAAGGAAAGAAAAAAGAAAGGAAGGAAGGAAAAAAGAAAGAAAGAAAGAAGGACGGAGAGAAAGAGAAGAGGAGGAGAGAGAGAAAGAGAAAGAAAGAGGGTGTAAAATACATACCACGTACTAACAAGATAACCAGGTAGGTAAAATATCCGATAGAGGTAACCAGGGCAGATCAAACCAGTCAGGTGTGTGCGGACAACAGCCTGCATTAATCTGAATGGGCTTAAATCTTGCATTTGCTTTTATTCGACACATCATCCATTAATGATCAGCCCACTCCTACCGATTGTTCTCAGTCCTCTCGCGATATTATTCCTCTGTCTGACAGATCTTTGTTTATCTACTCGATTCAGATCCTGTATTCTTAATACCTAAATAATGCTACTATTAGAAAATTTCCCCGTTCAACAGGACTCCATCCATTTTATTCGCATAAAGCATATAGAAATTAGCCCAATACATAAGTTGACAGATCTAACAAGCCACTCCCTTCGACCCTTTTTCTCAGTCTTCCCAGTTAAAAGCATTTTGTTTAATATCTGATAAAAGATTCCATTTTGTTGCTATCTCGTTTGGTAACGAAGTTTAGTGTTCAATCTGATGTTGTTTAGACATCCCGCGGCTTATAATCTTCAAAGTCTTTGTTAAGGCAAGCCTTGCAGCCAGTTCTGTTCTATTTCGTGCAATAACCTACGCACACATTCAAAGTTTAATTTAACTACACATCTTTATGTTGTGTCGTTTTCTCTAAAAGTTTCCTGCCGGCCTTGTTCGTGTCTCGTCTGTATTTTAATTTGCTTAAGAACATGCAGTTATCTAAAGCTTTTACGTTTAAAAGCGTTAACATTTACGAAGATAGCAGCAAGACATTAAGACATTTATGGCCCAGACTACCAAACCACTTGAATCTGTTGCTTTTAATGCGCATGCGTAGGAATCGGTAAAAGAAATGGGATAAACTGATAACATCCGTTAAATGGGTAAAACGTATTGCACCGAGACGAATTAGGTTTTATTGTAAGCAGGGTAGTAGTAGTAGTAGTAGTAATAATCGTCTATTTAGAGAGGGTGTCACGTGATAGTTGCCAACTTAGCACTGTTAAACTTGTGGCTCTCTGTGTTAAACGTGAGACAGGACCGCCATGGCAAAGGTCTAAACATCTGCAGATATTCTTAGAGCAAATGCAGCGGCACCTTCTACTCTGATATTTGAAAACCCTGATCGTTGGTGAGGGATGGTAGAGAGAGTCGTGCATATAGAGATCGGGGAGGAAATGGTTTATGACTGAGGGTCAGTGTTTATTAAATATAAATAAACTGGTTACTTTATTGGTTTTAAAAACAATTTTACATCAAATATTTCCAGAGTAAGAGTCGATATACTCATCGCCTTACTTGTGTTCAATAAATATAGCTCGCAAACACAAGGACTGGAAACGACCTGCGCCCAGTCACATGACTGCTATCCATATAATTACAAAACCAAATATAAACCATTTGTTTTAAAAGTTCTTGGGAAAACATCTCTATACACCTTACAGAAAATGTGAGCAATTGTTCACTTCCCCCAGCAGTTGCTAGGAGACGATGCCAGTACATTCGTTGGCGAAACTAGTGAACGAGAATTTCAATTTGTCTACTATACATACATAGAAAAGTTAGAATCACATGATTGGGTTATCACGAGTCACTTGTAACATCTTCATGGCTCTGAACTGAAAACAAACAAAAATAGTTGGTATAATTAATACCTTTTACACATGGACCTTAAACCAAACAGATCCTGGTCTAGCATTACTTATGGTTTGTACTCAAGCTAGAGCAGAATGCACCAGAAACAGACCATTACCATTAACATATCGTTTGACTCACCCAAACTGTCTCATTCTCAAGTCACCACGATTGGTCCCGTACACCAAGCCACACCCTACGACTGGGTGCCAAAAGGCAGCATTCACACTGATGTGTGATCCTCTCAAAGAGTCTTCCTCACTGAGAACTATATTGTGGATTGGCTGTGTAGTTGAATGAATACATAACGTCAGTTAAAGCCACACCGAGCTCAAAGCAGCATTCTGGATTTGATAAAATCCCTAATGATGGGCTTCAGTTACAAAAGCAACACCTAATGACTGTGACTACTGAGCCGGAGGTTGGCTAAAGGACAAGTAATTCCTATAAATTACTAGAGAATGCGCAGTAGAGGTAAGCTGGTCAGGTGGCAAAACAGCGAGTAACATTTAGGGTATCACATCATGAAGATATTATTTCTCTACCGTTTTCAATTCTGTAGCAGTTACTTCACTGTCTTTATCAGGTGTAAGTTTGAATACTTGTGCCATCATCTAAAAAAAAAAAACAAACAAGTAAATAACCTTAATACCATGTTTATTAACTTACTGTCATCAATATGATGTTATAGTACATTACCTGCTGTGATGTCAAATGCCAGTGAATACGCCGGGCTGCTAATCCAACAACAACATGAGTATTCAAGGGTGAAAGGCTGACAGAAATGGCATTTGGCCCTGGAGAAAAATGGCAGAAAGGATACTGATTGAAAACTGGGCTAGTATAAACCACTCATTATGCATTTTACAAAACAACTGCCAAGCTCAAGTACTGTAGTAATAATAATAATAATAATAATAAAACTTTATTTAAAGAGGGGACACACAACAGTTACAATAAAACACATCATACTGAAAACCCAGTGGCCCTCTTAGTACTAAGCTAAATTGCTATATATACATCAGTAAAATATTTACCAAATTTCTTGGTAAAGAGACATTGTCCAAAGGAACTTTTTTTCAAGGAATAGACTCCAAGCATCCCATCATCAGGGAAACCCAGAACACTTGGAACAAATGCTGCAAGTAATGTTCCATCAGCTGATAGGTCACAGCTTGCATCATTGTGGATCTTACAGCATGGAACAATCACATTGGCTTTGCCTGATGATGCCAAAAATAATTAAGTGATGAGAATCCTAGAATCATAATATATAATTAAATGTTTGATATTTTGTTGGATTTGCACACTTACTATCCTTCAGGTCTAGCATTTTAAATTTTGAAAAATCCCATAGCTGTAGTCTATGAGTTGTATTGATGATGTTACTGGCAACAGCACCTTCACCACTACTAGCAAATGCCCCAGCAATAGCTCTGTTGATTGCAGTCCTTAATGCCATCTGAGGGCCTTCAAGAGTGCCATTAGCAATGACAACAGCAGTGTGGACATGTCTGAAGGTGCGCGCTGTTGCTGTTGCTATAGCAGTACCAGATCCTGATTGATTGGAAAGAGTTGAAAGACTAGAACTGTGATTTGAACCATGTGTGACATAACTTGTCCTTGAACTTGAGCTTGTTCCTCCCACATTAATGACAGAACCAACTCCAGATACAAAGTTATTGTCACTCTGTGAAGTCCCAGCAGAGCCATACTGGACTGAATCCCTATCAACCATATCAATTGATACACTAGAATCACTTTCATTCCGAGCTGCTTCCATTGGTAAAACACTAATGCTCTGGGAAACTTCATCATTTCTTGATTCACTGGTATTTGACTGCAGTAAATCATTAGAAAAATTCAAAACCCTACTTGAAAGCATGTTGCTTGATGCAGGTGGACTGTCTCCATAAACAATACTTGATGATGATGAACTAGATGATGAAGTAGATGATGTAGATGATGATGATGATGATGAGCTAAATGATGATGATGCAGATGAAGGTGATGATGGCCTGACTGTTGAAGAAGATGATGTAGAGGAAGATGAGGATGAGGATGATGACGAAAATGGTGAGGATGATGGAGAGCCATTAGGTTCATTAACTCGGCCAATACTCATACTTTCAGTAGTATTAGCTGGATTGAATACTATGTTAGAGCGTCCAACATCAGTAGGGTCATTATCCATCTCTGATGTATCAATATTCCAGTCACCTCCTTCACGGTCTCTTGCACGGAATATTGCAAATACACCTCTATAGTTCCTAAGATGTCTCCTTCTTCTAGAGGATAAATCAGTCTCATCAGAGCTAGGTGGCTGTGTGTTTGATGTAGATGTAGATGTAGATGGTCTATCATGGCTTGTGGTTGTTGCACCTTGATCACCTCGCGATGTTTGTTGCATGATGTACTGCGACACTTGATCACTATCCAACTGTGTACAACTAACAGACTGTAAAAGCTGGTCCACAGAAGCCTCATTCCTACGAGACACATCAACAGTTCACTTATTATGATATATACTGTAACACCACGACAGAGCAAAGCAGCCTCAAAAATGGAATAATAAACTAGCTATAGCATGTGTATTAGAGTGAGAGGTGGGTATAGCAGGCTAGCAGCCTTACAGACCCTTGCCCTGCTGTGTGGTCCTAGACTTGCAGTGATTACTGACCTGTTGTCCTGGGCATTAGCATCCTGAAAATAGAAAGATTTAGAATAGTGTTGTAGTATTGTTAGAATATGGGCAAAAGACAACTTATTGCTGAGGGGGTGGGGGTTCAATGGCACTCATCTTAGAGATATTCTTCAAACGAGTCCAATATAAGAAGGTTTTCTCATGCGGGGCTGGTACAGTGTAGCGTACTAGTTGTTGAAGGTCAGAAATGTCTTGTCCGATGGACACAGGTTTATACTGTAGCTATTTATAAACAGCCTGTGATCTTACCATTTGGCTGCAGTTTGTAATTCCTGTCAAAATATAATCCCCTAAAGGAGAAAACTTGACCAACCTATGAGAAAGGTGACATGCAGTAAGTATACCTTTAAGTCTGCATCATGACACATCTTTACATGTTGTACTATTTTTGCCATTTTGTCACATAAAAAATTCATCCACTTTCTTCAATAACCCAAACAAGATCACATCTTGCTAATAAGCATGCATATACATTCCAGCTAGTATAGAACATACACATACTATTTGTTGTGATCAGCTATGGGTGCCTATCCAGAGTAATACTTAGTTAACCCAACAGACTAGAGGGAACATGCATGGGTAGCGCAGCTGCAGTGAGAGAAATTGCCTCTCATCAATGGCAACGCAACTTAGTTTTGATTCCAGACTAGATTAGGTACTGGTTGGTTTTCTTGGGTGCTGCAGCAATAAGATTGCTAAGATACAGCAACATCAAATAATTATATACTTGACTTTCTCTTCCACGTGGCTTGTTTGTAAACTAGCTAAGATGGTACAATAACATCACGTCACATTACATACCTGACTTTCTCTTCCATGTTGTTTGTCTGTAAACTAGCAAAAGGTTGCGGCTGATCCCATTTCCAAAAATACAACTTATTACTAGTTGCTATTAGCAACACATTGTCTGTTGGATGGAAAGCTACTGATGCTATCGCAGCTCTGTCTGGTGGTACATACACTTCACAGCCACCCTTTCATAACAAATAATTATTTATAAATATTCAATAATAATTCATAATTTATTATGAAGGTGGATAAATAATTTTGTTTTCGAATTGTGTATATATGGGATATGTACACTACTTAAACTCCTCTAAATCCACCAATCAAGAGACACTATAAATACATCCATTAAATTTCACTTTTGCTGATTGATACTGTTAAATGTTTAATTTCTAAGAAGAGAAGTGATATTTTGATTACCATTAAATCCCAAATCCTGACTTCGCCTGCAAGACACCCAGATGCAAGGAGACTGTTGCTTGACGGGTGGAATGTTATACACCATGGTGTTCTTGGGTGACCCACAAGAGTACGTATACTTTTACCAGTAAAGCTGTCTGTTATTCTAATTGAATGATCACCATGAGTTGATGCCATTTTACTCCTGAAAAGAATACAGTATCAGTTGCATTATTGGATGAGGGCAAATAAAATATGAAGAATATTGATATGTTTTTTTCTCATTAGAAGATTTTTTTCATTGCAACCTGTCATTTTTAATTGATTCATTCGTCTTCTATAATTATTATATATTGTTACATCTTTCTAGAAAATCCATAAATTAACATGTTGACAATATCATGTATTGTTGCCATTTTTTTTATTTTCTACTGATTTATTCTTTGAAATAATAAACACCATACACATTTTAACTTTTAATCAGTAACTATGCAATCACTTACTTGTCGAGGCTAAAACAAACAAGAAATGTTGATCGTGGAGACCCTGATAAACTACATTTCTGAAATCACAAAAATACACATATATATTACAGTATAATTATTATTGTGTGCAACAATTATGCGTAACAAGCCAGAGAAAACCACACCATTCACAGTAGCGTAGTAGATATTTCTGGAGTACATTTCAATTGCTCTTATAATCTGCATATAATACATGTATAAATATGGCACGCCAAATACCGTAGCAATATTTCAATAGATATTCAATGTCAATAATTCAATGATAATTCAATGAAATTTCAACGTCCATTCCATGAAAATTCAATGTCAATTCAATGACGACAATGCAATCTAGAAATTCCATATCAATTGATCATGATATCATACCAATTATTACAGTGACCTTGGCAATACAAAAATGTTCTAAATCAGACTATCTATATGCCGACTCAGAGCACAAGAACCAGGTACCTAGTTGACTAGCATGTATTGGAAGCCATTTTTTGGCCAGATCTACTAATTTTCAATAATAAAGAATGGATTCTTATTCAGAATGGATTTTTAATGATGAAGAGGATCTACCAAAATTCCTTCTTTCAGTTGTTGACAAAGCAGAACACATTTTGTGAGTTATTCTCAACGTTTTCATTCATCTTCCACAGGAATCCTGATTTTGAAGAATAATTTTCAATGAATTATCACTTGGGGTGCCATATGTAAACAAGTGTTCAAAATGTTTCAGCTTCATCATTTTTGTTTTGGAAAAAGTTCAATTGAATCTTTGCACTTGAACTTAGCTTCCTCATTCAATATTAGTTTTCAAAAATAGTCTCAATATGACACACTAGGTAGTAGAACAGGCATTCATCTCTAATCAACTGGAATAGCTACATCGAGTGCTACTGAATCAGGAAAGGAAATTGTGCTTTGGTAATTACAAAAGAGAACAGCTAAAGGTTAGACCTTGACCTTCATGTATTATTTAACATGTTTGACAAAGCATTGTCAGACATGGGTAACAGCATGTGAATCATAAAACAGGTACATAATGTGGTACAGAGTATATAGGAAAACCAACAATACAGACAACATACTAATTTTGCTTCAGCAAAAAAACGATGAAACAAAAACCAGATTCATCATCAATTGTGAAAATGAAAATAATTTTTACCTAACAACAATGAGTCATTGATGAACCTAGTGAATGCATTATTAGCTCATTTGCAAGCTATTTATGAAATGATGATTGCATGTTTCAAACCAAAAATGAGTTTCATGGTAAAAAATATTGTGTCATTCAAGTTTCTGTTATAATAATTAGCCAATGCCTTATGCCTTGTAAACGTATTTATCTTTTAAATCAAAATCTATAATATTACTGGCATTAATAAATTATCTTGAATCTTGAAAATATATATGTTCAACGTTGAACATTGGTCAAGGTCAGTATGTGATATTTCCTAGCGCTGATGTCACATGCATGATAATCATGGTATGTATGACAGGTCAAGGTTGCCAAGGACATAACCTTGATAGGATTGACAGATAGATATTTACAGCAAGGATTACAATCAAACTACTTCCTTTCAATGTTCGATTTCGTAGAGGGATTCCAAGGAAAAATTGGGCAAGCAAAACAAGTATTAAGATGCATAAATTGCTAAAGTTGACACGTTTTAGCAGGAAAAAAAACTATTCCAGCAATTTAGAGAGAAATTCAAATACTCAGACATGGAAGTGAAGGAGGGAGACAGTGAATTTACCCATCATGTGACCAATATTTAGCCAACCATATTATACACTCCAACCTTTGCACAACAGTTTACGTACTAATGTCGTAAGTCTTATAGTACATACTTGACATTCTAAAAGCTGAGCTCGATAGTACAAGAAAAAAAGAAAATGTACTACCATTATAAGAGAAAATAATAAAGAACTCTTTAAGACTTCGAAGAATTGGAGAACAAATAAAATAAGTAAAACCCTATATTGTTTTGTTTGGCCGAATTGGTTCAAAACTGTCACACAATTCATATTCAAAAATTTTGAGCATAAAATAACCTTGATTTGTTTGCATTGCCGTACCTTTTCTGTGAAACAAGAAGAAGCAGTTCGATCTTCTACAAAAGACAGCACATCCTTGTGATCATTTGCCAAAGGAAAACCTTTCTCGCGCCGCAACAAAGCGTGGAAAAGCCCTCGACGTGCCATGACGTTAGTTTTCGTCTTCTTCGCCTTCTTCATTTGACCGGCGGCGAGTTGCTCAACAAAAGATTACTGTCTTATTTTGTGCCTTGATCCAAAATATTGTGAAACATCCTTGATTTTGAGGTCGTTCTGAATTATCAAAAATTGTTCTTCATATTGAAGTGGCTCGTAGATCGGTCTTTCTAGATCTACATATATATATATGCCTCCCACGCATAGACGCACTTTCAATGCAAAATATTCCAAGCAGTTCAACACTTTTCTTTTGATTCTCTCTTAAACGCGATCAATAGATATTGAACGCGATTTTTAGAAAGAATATCTCAAGAAGGCACTAGATGTAGGGAGGTATATTCAGAGTGTTGGCTAAACTAGTGAAAATCATCCAAATTTCTTGACTTCCTTGTGAACGATTCACGACAAGAATGCGACCTTCGCCGCGTGCATCAAAGAAATGTATTCCACTATACCACTGACTACTATATACAAAACACTGCTGGCTCATATCCCCACACCCTCCCCCAGGGGATATAAATATACACCGGTAAAACTGGGGATCGAAAAATAAGTTAATCTTGTAATAAATTTGTATAGAACTATACAGGGAAACGATTAATCACCTTAATCCCGCATTTAAGCCAAAGAAAATGAGAGGGGAATATTTGAAAACCAAATTAACATTTGTGAATAATTATAAAAAGCAACGTAATTTATAGATCTAACATGAATGATTTTCAAAAGCAATTTTGCAAAATTCCAGTATATTATCGAAATAAAAAGTAAAAAAATATAATAAAAATAAAACAAAACGCGCCCACATTTTTAAAAATAGCTTGCGGTTTTCCTACTGGGCATGCGCACTATGTTATCATACGTGGCTGTGAATTTGAAAATTGTAAAGTTTTGTTGAAAATTCTCGTCAAATCTTTCATAATTTAGCCCTCAAAATGATTCCAATAACCGATTTACAAAGTAAGTAGGGTTCAACATCGTATATTCTTATAGTATGTGGGTTAATATATTTTTCCTGCTTGTTTTTCTCGTAGAAATCGGCATCGGAGTGACGGGCTTTGGAATGTTTTTCTTGTTTTTTGGTGTTGTGTTGTTTTTTGACAAAGGGCTTTTAGCCATTGGAAATGTGAGTCTCATTTCTTTATTACTTTATATTTTATTCATTTCTGTGAAATTCTATGATTTATTGTCTGCCACATTCTAAATGAAAGAGGTATTGTAAGTGCAGCTGTAGTATACATGTATTTGTCTGTGTGTACATGTGTCAATGAATGAGCAGTTCACTGTCGATCAGTCAGCTGGTATAGAATTGCTGTCTACATATCGACCATAAAACGTTTAGATGACATACTCTCATGATAGACATTAGGCCCATTTATACTGGGGAAATAACATGTGTCTTACATAAGATGCAAACTGACCTAATAAACGTCTTATATTTGAATAAGATGCATGTTATTAGAGAACAGGGTTATCAACTGTCAAATTAAGCCATGCCTTAAATGATGGATTGCAATCATTCCCAAGAGAGTTAAAAGACAAAAGCATGGAGGCTGTTGTGGTGCTAATAAGAAATATTTTGTTAAATGGCACCAACGCTCCTGCGAGAAGCCGTGATACTATAACGTGCAATAGAAGAATAGGCAAACAGTGCATATAAATGGCAATAATTGTCTTAGCTAATATGCCAATGCAATTTAAGCATGCACGAGGAAATCCACACAACACAGGGAACCCACAAGAATGAGGCTGTATCAATAAGACACCAACCATTTATTCATGATCTACACTTCTTATGTAAAAAATTCTAATCTAATTGGATCAGTTGGAGTCTTATTTAGGATGCATCTTATTTCCCCTGGCATTAATAAATGACCCTATCATTCATGCTGCAGAAGTAATTCTGAATCATTATAGTAAATGATAGTTTATACTCTCAATGATTGGGGGTTTCTCACAACACTGATCTCCAGCCCGTCCTTAAATCAGAGAGGAACAGGCATATACTTATTCTACCTTTCCTTTTGGATTTCTGGGTGTTTTTTTAATGCCATTTTTCTCCCTCCATATTTTATTGGCCTTATCTCTATCCTTCCATTTCCTCTTCCCTGGCTGTCTTTTCTCCCTATTCTAGTTTTTTCTTCCTTCATATTTTATTCTACCTTTCCTTTTGGTTTTCTGTTTTTTAATGCCATTTTTCTCCCTCCATACTTTATTAGCCTTATATCCCTCCTGCCATTTCCTCTTCTCTGGCTCTATCTCCTTCCTATTCTAGTTTTTTTTATTTTTTCTCTCCCTCTTTTCTGTCTTGTTTAGCGATTTCTCACTCCTTCCTGATCCTTCCCCTCCCTTCTTTGGACATTTTAGAATCTTATAAACAACCTTATTTCAATTTTCTCACCTTCCGAGTTATAGTATATCTGCCAATAGACTCAGCACTGTCTTTGATTCCATTTTCATTTTATTTTTTTATAGATATTATTTATATCTGGTTTAGCTTTGGTCATTGGTCTAGAGAGAACGTTTAGGTTTTTCTTTCAAAAGCACAAATTACGTGCAAGTTCCTGCTTTCTTGGAGGAATATTAGTGGTTTTATTTGGCTGGCCTCTCATAGGAATGATTATAGAAACCTATGGCTTTGTATTATTATTTAGGTAAGTACTCTTGTGTCAAAATCACATACTCTCTATTGATTGCCAGCAATAACAATTTTATTTATATATGCTGAATATTTTATGCACAATTTTTTTTAAAATAGTTATAAATTGAATATTTAAGGCCAAAAGAATAGATTATTCCTATTCTTTTCTTTTCATTTCTATTGCAATTAATCTTGTTTTTACTTTCTATATTTCAGTGGTTTCTTTCCTGTTGTTGTAAATTTTCTAAGAAGAGTACCCATTATTGGGAATATCTTAAATCTTCCAATTATAAGTACGGTGAGTATTGATGAGATCTTTACCCAACCACCTACTAACACATCCATGGGCAGACAACCTGTTATCAAATAAGATCATTGAACTCCGTTGACTGATACTTTGAATGTATTTGTTTGCAGATCGTTAGTAGAATAGCTGGGGAACAAGGAAATTCTATGGTTTGAAAGAAAATAGATCTAAAAGAAAACATTATATCTACCTACAACATCTTAAAATTAATGTCAACGAAAACTATGAAAAATGCACAGTCCACACTGGCTATCACAGCTGAGTGTGTATATATATAAAGATCAGCCTTGAGGGTTCTACTATACATCTACTGTATATTCAGTAGAGACATGAATATCATTCTCCTTCATCTTCAAGGCTGAGGAGTTCATCACAACACATCCTGATAATAACATAACCTGGAATAGAACTGATTGTGCATTTAAAAGGAATAACCAGTGTTGCTATCTTGTCTTTTGGAGAATTTGTCACCAAAACCGTCAGCGACTAATTCACACAAAAAATTGAATATGTCTGCTGCATAGCCTAATTAGAATAGGACCCAATACTGAACCTGTAGCACACCACAAGAAATGTTGCATATGAGATTCAGTTTAGGCAGGGAGTCAGTCACAAAGGCAGGGAAAGGAAGATTACATCTCTTTAGGAAAAGGGTCACAGGTATAGAGGCTATGTATTCATTGTCTGTCATGGTAGTATATTTACTGATACTTCCTGTAAATACTAAGCTGTTCAATAAATGAAAATTTTTGTTAGAAAAAGTTACAGTGTACTTAACTGATCTTTTGTTAGGACTGGACTTTTCTTGTAGACATGCAAAATATGAAATATAAGTTGATTTGATAGAATCCTGGCTATAAGCCCCACCCCCATATATTATAAGCACCCCCTGGTTATTCCTTCCCCCNCCCCCCCCCCTTCCCTGGTTATTTGTCTCCTCCATTGTTGGAATAACGCCATACAACCCTGAAGTTAGCAAAGTGACAATCTGCTCAGATGATAGTTTTTCTGAGAACATTCGCGTGTTAAAGCTTTTACACTCATGGAAAACAAGTCCGAATCCCATGTCGAGTTATATAAGGACGCGGGAAATTGTGCCGCTGGGAAAAACCACTGTTCTTAGAAAAAAATTTCCGCTTGCTGACGTCATTTCCTCGCGATCCATCAATACGAGCGTGCGCGTTTTAGTTGAACTATTTTATAATATTGCGTGAATTACTCGATTACATGTAATCTTTTTTCCCTGATTACAAGGTTACCAAAAGTCCCTTATGAAATTATATGAGCCACCGGGAGTTTTCGGTATAGTTTGGTTCTTGAACGTTCTTTTGCCGTACGGTGATGTTAGATACCCATTTTGCAATGTACATGTTCTGTAAGTACGTATCGTCGTGCGGTCGGCATGACGGGACTCCGAAGGTTTCGCGGGTTCCTTTAATCATTCCTTAACACGTCCATGCTTGCCTTGCATTGTGCAGCTTGGAAATGGCCGACAATATGAATGGAAAAGAATCTCGTGGACAAGAAAGAAGATGTAGAAAATGCAAAGCACACGGGAAAACCAACTATCTAAAAAACTATCACAAAAAGAAATGCGAGTACAAGGATTGTGACTGCAAGACATGCACTATGGTTACTCGAACAAGAGAGAGATCAAAGATTATCCTACAGAAGAAAAGGCAGATGATAAAAGAACAGAAGCTACAAGAACAAAGGAATGTAGGTACGATACGTTCATCAGATCACAGTTAGGAACTAAAATGAATTAAAGGAATTGAAATAGCTAGTGGATGGAAGTTTTCACTGCAGTTGTCGAAATTCTCTTTTCGACCTTCTCGCTGCGTTTTCTTATACGTTTTTGTTAACGATCGAGATTAACAAGAAAACAATAGCCAGAAACGTTCTATTGAACTATCTATCTATGGTGGTTATTATCTATGATGCTGTTCCATAGAGACCACCTCCCCACTATTGATTTCCTTGAGCATCCCTTGATCATGAAGACTGGTTAATCTTATTATTATCATTTTACACTTAAAGGGGAAATGCCTGCTGACTTCCACCCATGCCTACATAAAGGCATGCCAGTAGCCGTCAACCGTCAATCACCACAGCATCTCTTAACGATGCAACAAACACAGTTTCATAGCACTCAATTTCAATCATATGTTACAAACATGACAAAGCTTGTTGCTAGGATACTGCAACAAACGACCAGTGCAGAGGATATCCCTAGTAATCTTTACGATGTGGTGGCCAAAACTTTCAACCCTTCCTGGTCAATGTCATCAAAAGCATCAGCAATCACCAATGGACCTAATATAACTACTACTTTTGGTAGTAAGTATTATATGGGTACATCTTGGCAAGGGGTACATTATCAGTAGGGGTACATCTTGGCAAGGGGTACATTATCAGTAGGGGTACATCTTGGCAAGGGGTGCATTA